TACCTTGATGAGCTGCTGGGTGGTGAGCTACCTTGATGAGTTGCTGGGTGGTGAGTTACCTTGATGAACTGTTTGGTGAGCTGCCTTGATGAGCTGCTTGGAGGTAAGCTACCTTGATGAGCTTTGTTGCTCTTTTAGAGGCCTACAAGGAACCAAATGTTAGAGGACCCGGGGTGGCTTACCCGGCGGGGGACACTCCGATGGCTAAGTTAGCACAGTATAGTAGTAGAGAGCTTGAAGATGATATAAGAGAATGAGAGAGCTAGGGAGCAAAGATTACCATCCTTTTTCATCCCCCTCTCCCCTCTAGGGGGTGAGGTCTTTATATACTGGAGTCCTCGTGGGTTAGTGTAACAGTCATTGGATCCCTACTGTGATGAAACCTGTTGCGCGTTAGGTGGGTGAAAAGCCTTCAAACGGTAGGACTCGTCACATCCCGTCAGAACCGGGGTACGGTGGTGAGCTCCTCGAGGTTGTCAGGCTGGAGCCTTTATCAGGTGGCCAGGTTGTCAGGTCGGCGCCTTTGTCAGGCAGCCAGGTCGACGTCTGGGCCAGGTTGTCAGGTCGGCGCCTTTGTCAGGCGGCCAGGTCGACGTCTGGGCCAGGTTGTCAGGTCAGCGCCTATGTTAGGCAGCGGGTCAGTGTTTGGGTCGGGTTGTCAGGTTGGCGCTTGTGTTAGGCCACCAGGTCAGTGCCTGGGCCAGGATGCCAGCTCGTGCCAAGGCCAGCTTGCGCCTGTGTTAGGCAGCGGGTTAGTGTCTGGGTCGGGTTGTCAGGTTGGCGCCTGTGTCAGGCCACCAGGTCAGTGCCTGGGCCAGGATGCCAGCTCGTGCCAAGGCCAGCTTGCGCCTGTGCCAGGCTAAGGGTGAGCTGCCTATGGCAAGCTACCTGTGGCAAGCTCGAGCTGTCTAGTTGTCAAGAGGCTGCACATTTGGCATGAGGTGCCAGGTGTCACAATTTCACTGGAGGGCCAAATCCACCCTCATCAAAGTTGTTTCCTCCATTTATTGATAACGATTTTTGCCCCTTAATCATCAACAACACTTCTTCAATCACACTACTTGTAAAATATGGAATCGACATGTCATGTAGTTGTTCGATTTGTTTTAGTAGTCAAAAATTTCCATGCCAATGAAAACTTACTATGGTAAGCGATTGTGCTTCAAAGTCTAATGTGCTTTCCTTGGAAGAATCCATTTTTGATTATATGCTCCTTGTGTAGTCCTTGAAAACTCTTCTACATGGTTTTAAAAGGTTAAAGGCGTAGTTGAGGCACAATGGCCCAAAGCTCAAGTAAAAAGCTAATTAAAGTTTATAAATTGATGAAAATAACATAAATATGCCAAATTAAAATGATATAAAATATACATATCCATAAACTAGAAGTATATAAGCAACAAACTTTGACATTTAAGCATTAAATAAAATAGTAACTAATCAACTTACAATTATAAACATTTTACACTTTATGTAAAAAAAACAATTTAGAAGAAAAGAAACAACTTAGTTGTTTTGTATAACAACAATAATAATAATAATAATAATAATAATAATAATTATTATTATTATTATTAAAAGAAAAAAGATCCATTATAGAAGAAATTTGACAAATAACAAACTTGGGACATTACATTTAGAATAATAAGAAAAATCTCACTTGATTTATCTAAAAGAAACTAAGAACTTGTTTAGTCCCTTTTGCATTAAACTCTCTTAAAACACTAAGAAAAACTAATAGAATTTGATTTGCCTTATTGGTTTTTATTTTTTTTATTTGGCCTATAATTATTGAAGTATTTTTTATATGTTTTAAATTATAAAAATGTATATATTTTCTGCATTAAATCACTAAGTAATTATTGATACTTGAGGCTTACGCCTTTTCATGCCTTTGGCTATGCCTTGAGGCTTGAGACTTATGTTTCATTCTGACAAATGCTCAAGTTTCACATCCAAGTTTTGAGCTTTAAAGCCTTGAGACAAAATTTGTGCGCCTTGCCTCAAGGCATGCACCTCACACCTTAAGGCTTAAGCTTTGCTCCTCCGAGAGAGGAATTGCGTTTTCTTCCCTCCTCCTTGTCTAACTATCTATAGCCTTCAGTAGAAACAGAAACAGAGAGACAAAATGGCTATCACATTTTATTTTTATATTCAGCTGGGAAACCAAGACTCTGGGGTTTCTCTAGTCCCTGCACTAATGCCATAGGTAAAAAGAAGAAAGCCCTTTTATTAGGACACAAAAGGGGTAAAATGGATTTTTTTTTAAGTTATCCAAATATAATGTTAGGTATAAACAGGTCTTTATAAATTCTAATCGAAGGGAGGTCTTTGTCTGATGACATCATCCACAAGGGAAGTCCTAGTCCAATTTCAAAATACAAGTAACCTCAAGGGAGGTTTAAGTCTTTTACCGTAAGATGCTCTTCATTTTTCAGGAACCTGCATTCTCGCGTGAATGTTTCTCAGGTTCTTTTTTGTATAATTTATCCAAGTAAATGTATCTTGTGAGGGCATTTTTGCTCATTTTAATTATTTTTCATTTACCCTCTGCTTGGGAAATTTAACTTACCCAAGTTTAAGAATGGGTAGGCATCTGGAAAAATCAATTTTGCGGTGGGTGGAACACTTGATTTATGTATTAACGTATAAACAACTTATTATTTTACTATCATTCTTATTAAGGTTATATTATGAAAACTACATAAGTTTTAAGTTGTTATTAATATACATAATTATAGAAATCAGTATAATTGGGTCTATGATTAATAATCAGGATGGTTTTGGGTCTATGATTTTGTTTCATTTAATAATCGGTTCTGCAACAGTCCCAAACCAGACCAACCCATTGACATCCCTTATCCACTGGGTTGATCAGTGCTGCACATAGGTTTGGCTCGTTTTGTGGGATATGCCTCGGCTGAACCCATATACTCATCTGCCCAATGTTGCTACGTTCTCATGAATTAACCTTGAATTTAATATTTGATAAATAATTTGATATATTGTAGGTTGTACCCATAATGCTTAACCTATTTAGCCATGTAAGAGTCTGGCTTTTTTATTTAATAATACAATGTCCTAACCACAAAAACAATTAAAGAAGATAAACGAAGGCCAGATTTAACTTAGGCTATATGTTAAGATAATTTCTGATTTTTATATCTGCACATATTTGGAATGTGGAAAATCCATTGAACCATATTAATATATTTAGGTTGTGTTTGATTGCAGTGCAATTTTATTTGAACTAATACAAATGCATAGGAGTGTAAATGAAAAAAAAATACAAATTCTGGTTTAACTTTGTTTTGGGTTTTACTTTATTCTGCCTCGGGTCTTATTTTACTTCATTTGTACTGCAAATGAACAAAATAAGATAATTTTTAAAATAAAAATAAATTATAATTTGCACCAAAATCATTTACACTACTATGTTACCATAGTTTTGCATCATTGCAAATAAATTCGCATTGCAACCAAACAAAACCTTAATGTTGATTTCATGTATAAATCCCTAAAATTTTGAGACAATTTTATAAGGGAAAATTCCCTATCAGTACCCTCTATTTTAGGTTGAGTGGCAATTTAGTACCTAAACTTTAAAATGCGACAATCCAATACCCAAACTTTCGAAATGCAACAATTTAGTACTTATCGTTAACTAACCATCAAATAACATTTAAAAAAGACATAAATACCCTTCAAGTGTCATCTAATTTTTTTTATCAATTATCCGCTAAAATCAGAACCGTCAAATTTTTCTAGGCAACACTCCACCTCGTTTGTCTTTCATTTCCTTCCCCAGTGTTTCCACCGAACCTGAGCCTAAGTCACCAACCCAAGCGAAGTGCTATATAACTAAGTGGCATTACTAAAGGGTAATGCATAAAGAGCACCCATCATAGAACTCCCATAAGCAGGAAGCCCATCAAAGTGCGTTTGCTGGTTCGTCACAATGGCACTCAACAGGGTCTGGACCTGGTAAACCAGGTCGTTCGTCAGTGACTCGACAAAGTACAGTTCTGTGGTGATAGTCCCCAAGTAGTCCACATTGAGATCGGATAATTGTCGGCAGTCATCTAGTGCACCAGCCTCTATGTGGCTTACTGGAGTGTTGATTGCGGTTGAGGTATCGACCCATCAGATAGGAGGTCTTCCTAGATAGCTTGAGGCACTACTTGACGGAGAAGCAACTGTAATCTTAGGGGCTGGAGGGAGAGAAGCAGAAGGCCGATAGGATGGAATGGCAGAGTTTGGGGTAAAGAGTGAACTTACAAGCGGCGCAGGGTGACGAGAGAGTTGCAGAGGTGGAGGGGAAAGGGAAAGCAGTTGGAAGTTGAAAGACTCTGAACACAGACCCCACAATTTTATCTTCAATACAATCATTCTGTCGGACACCGACATGGTTGAAACAAAAGAAGAGACTCTTGAATCTGAAAGAAATCTCATCACTTGATCATTACTGCTGGATTTCTCTGAAAAATTAGAAATATCTGATTCCTCAGAATGCTCATCTGTATTGACATACCAAATCCACTTGTTGTAGGCGTTTCTCCTGGCGTTGGGGTTTTGGATGCGTTTGATTTACTTGATCTTCCATCTGGCAGCCTGGAGGGTTAGTTGGCTTGTCTTGGTTATGGATTCGTTGACAAGTAGGACCAAATCTTTGGTGGAGTTGGACTGAATTATGCTTTGGGCCAAGACTATGGCACAATGGATGCAAGCTTCTGGAGAGTGGAGGATTGTGACGTAAGCTTATGAAGTTTGGGTTTCAAAAACTTGGGTTTGTCTTTTCCTTTATTTTGGGCTTTTGAGTTTTCGTCATGAAATGATGGTCTGGACTGTTGAGAGCTTGGGTTCTTTCATTTTCTTGAGAAAGAAGATGATGAACAATGTTTTTATTTCTAAGGGCAATTTTGACATTTTCAAAAGTCTTAAATTGTACATGAGATCACATGATATACATAACTGATGGTCCATTAACATAGGCACTAAATTATTGCATTTCAAAAGTTTGGATATTAGATTGTCGCATTTTAAACTTCGGAAACTAAAATGACATTCAACCTAAATTGCAGGGTAACTATCAGGAATTTTCCCATTTTATAATAATTTGTGGTGGAAGGGGAGAAATTGGGCCACTGTAGCCCACGACTGATCACCTTGGGGTGCTCCCGTGATATATGGACTTGGAGTGCCAAGGGAATTGCAGTTGAATCAATCGTGTATACTGTATAGGTCTCATCTCACAAGTATCTGATCTCATAGGTTATCCAATGTTGCAGGATGTTGGATCTCACAGTTCATCTGAACCGGCGAGATTCACTAGCCATCCAGACTTGCAGTAGCTTGGTTTTGCAGGCTGGGCTCGTACGTCTCAATCTTGCTGATCTCTAGATTTGCAGTCAGATCTCCTTGGACTTGTGAATTCATTTTTGAGCAGTTTTGTGGGATTCATCTAGTTTGGGTTTTTTTCATATAAATAACCTAGAAAGTTATCTTATATCCTTGGGGGTCAAGAAAAGAGAACAAGAGTGTGAGATACAAAGAGAGAGAATTTTGGATGAATTGGAAGCTAGGGTTTTAGTGAAAAGGTTGTGAGAATTGTAACTGCATTCTCTCAGTAGTGGACTTCTCCTCTGTTTCTCTATTTGCCCCATAAATCTGTTGGTGCTATTGTGTTGCTTTGTCTTATGTTTTCTTCCTGTTTCTCCACTTGCCAATCTCTTCTTCCTGAGTGTTTCCTACTATTTGAACAAAAATAATTAATAACTTAATTTAGCTCAATGACAATGCATAAGCGTTAGTAGTAGTGGCAGTAGAAATACAACAAGGTTAAAACCTCTATGAACTATGTTAAGAAAAGATTTCAGTGCAAGCGATTTGTATATGAATCTATTAATTTTGCTTACCCATAAAAATACTAATAGTGAAATGTAATGTAGAGATTTTTCATGACCGTTGATATAAAATGCCAAATGCTTACTTTGTAAGGTCGCTAGCTGGTTGTAGTAGAGACTTGATATCAATTCCTGCCTTCACTCCAGTAAGGAGGTTCTGGGTATGGGCAATGGGCTAGCCCAATGAAGAGGGAGGAGGAATGAAGGATAAGGGTGTAACTTAGGTGGGCTTGGCCAGGTTTTAGCTTAATCTAGGCCCAACCTTAACAATTAGGCCTAAAGTTCAAGGTCAAGCCTGAACTACTCAACCCGAACCCAATCCAAACTAAAATTTGATGTACTTAGGTGGAGCTCAAGCTTGGGCCATGTTCAGGTTAGTCAATCAACTCACACTAAAAATTAATGCACATGTATGTGTATATGCATGCATTGTAAATATGTATCTACATATATCTATATATGCTTATGCACATGTATGTAATCAAGGGTGGAATGGGGCCAAGGATCAAAGTACCAGTATTAGGTATTGATGAAGGAAGATTTGGCCCAACCTCGCAATCACGCTACGTGGCAAAAAACAAATAGCTCGACACTTAAAGCAGTGTACCCAGGGCGCAAACACCAAAGGGAAGAAGCCAGCGGTCCGAACTCCCCTCGAGGAGACCGAACTCCCTTCGAGGAGCCCGAACTCCCTACGAGGAGCCCGACCTCCCTACTAAGAACCCGAACTCCCTACTAAGAGCTCGAACTCCCTAC